AGACAGACAGACAGACAGACAGACAGACAGACAGACAGACAGACAGACAGACAGAGACGGACCGACAGATGGAGAGAATGTAAGCGCACCCCAATCCCCTTTCTCGCTTCCCCACCCCTCCTTTTCCACTAGTACTGTAAGTCCCCGGATTATAGCGAGCAGAATTAGCCACTCACCCTTAATTCCCCGTCTCTGCCTACAACAGTCATCAGCTCTGGTTCAGTTCAGTCTCAGTTTGGCAAGAGTTGTACGCCATTGCACTCACTGACCCCAGACAAACAGACAGACAGAGAAATAGAAAGACAAACAGACTGAGAGGATACACACAAAGAAAAGAAGAAAAAGAGATAAAACTGATAAGACGGTCGACAGAAGAAGCAATCCACACACCAGGGCACCCGTCGGCCACCCGTCAACCACACGATACAACAAGCTTGCAGACCACTTACATCCACAGACGGTGACCTTCCTGTGCGTCTCTTCGCTGAGGAACGGCTTGAGCAGGCTGTAGGCCAGAGGGAAGATCTTGGGGGCTGTGGGGGGAGACACAGACGAGAACCAGTCAGTTTTACGGCGCTCGCAACTGCATAAGGTCATATGAGTGCCAGAAGATTAGAGGTGTTACAAGAGAGTAACAAACAAAAAAAGAAGGAGGGGAGATAGTTTTAGTTTAGTTTAGTATAGGTTTTACGGCGCTCGCAACTGCATAAGGTCATATGAGCGCCAGAAGATTAGAAGTGTTGCAAGAGAGTAACAAACAAAAAAAAAAAGAAAAAGGGGAGATAAGGACGATAGATGTTTGATAGGACAGAAGAAGCAAACCACGCCAGAGCACCCCCCAACCACCCAGAGTTTTAACAAAGATCGCTCATAACAAGATAGATCACTCTGCAAAAAAAGTGTCCGTGGAAGCCCGCGCATTCGTTCAGATGTCGCTGCAGTCTTTGCCTTGAAACTCTTCTTTGCTTCTCCAGAAGAAAAGCAGGAATAGCACATCTTATTAGTTTCACTTTGATTTTTTTCACACAAGTAGGATAACTCTGTTGGCAAACTCCGCACTTTTCGAAGAGGGTGCCATCGCATTTTGAGGACACCTTTTTAACTGGCTCAAAGAGAGGAGTGAACTAACTTGTTATGTGCGATCTTTGGTTTTAGTAAGAGTTTTTACGGCACTCGCAACACAATTAGGTCATATAAGTGCTGAGGATTAGAGGCGCTGCAAAGTGGCGACTGGCAGTGGCATAGTT